GGCAGGAGGGGGCGGGGCTTGCAGGGGGAAGGCGAGAAGGGGGTGATTTCGCACGGAAAACCCGGGGGTGATGGAAAGAGCGCGGGGACCATCGTCGTGGAGTCTGGGCTGAGGTTGCAGGAAATGTATCGAGTTTGGACCTGAGAGGGAGATGGAAGTTAGGACTTCCTGATGGTGCAGATTAGGAGATACTGGACCTTGACAGCAAGGATGGGCACCCTGGCAACCCATTCACCGCAGGCCAGGAGTCTCTCCAAACACACCCTGGGCCACGGAGCAGGGCAAGAGACAGCTCAAGGACCAGAGCCTTCCTGGAGGGTGGGAAGCGGGGCTGTGACCCCTTCTGGCTCGGTGTCGATGCTTCGCTTCAGCAGAGAAGGGGCCCCGCTTTCATGCTGTGGTCCCCAGCCAGCCTCTCCAGCACCCCGCCCAGGTCAGGGCCACGAGCGGAGTCTGTCAGGGACGAGACTCCTGGGGGAGGAGGTCCACTCTCCAAGGCCTCCCCTCCTGGCCTGGCGATTCCCTGGCCCCTTTCCTCCCCCTCCAGCCCACTTTTCTGTCCAGCTCTGGACAGGCTAGGAGCTGACCCTAGGGGACACAGGCTGGTGGTGAGAGACCCCTTCCCTGGGTGAGGGTGGGTGGTGAGATGGAGGCATCCACGGGGATCCCATCTTTCCAGGAGGCCCGGCCACCGCCCGAGGAGCTCAAGCCTGGAAGCCCAGGTTACTGTGTCCAGGCGGAGAGATTTACATGCCCGGTGGAAGTAGGGCAAGGGCAGGTGGGGGTCGGGCTGTGCTCCCCTCCCCACCCTGACCCCAGCTTCCCTGGCAGAGGCGGCTCTCAGCCCTCACCCCAGGTTCCCCCAGAAGCCCTTCTCCTATCCCTGCCCTGCTTCCTCTCCCTGGGTGCTCCCTGCTCTGGCACTGGCTGCTAGGAGCACCCTGGGATGGGGGTGGCAGGCCCTCCCTCTGTCCCTGGCTGGGTGCTCAGGCCCTTCTCCTGCGTTTCGAGACTCCCCCCCCCCAGAGTTGGGGCTTCCGGTCCTCAGAGTCCCCTCCCATTTACTATGCAGGCTGGGGCAGCTAAGGACATGCACTGGAGCCTTGATTCCCTCACCTGCAAGGTGCGGGCCTCACTGCAGAGAATGGAGGTGTCAGGGAGCGCTCAGCCCAGGCAGGTGCGGTAAGCCGCATTCTCCCCTCCTCTCCTCTGGGAGACTTGTGCCTTCCCACATCTCTCCCTGAAGCAGAAAGAGAAAAACACCTTCCCTCCTTGGCCATTTGGGGCTTGTTGGTCCTTGGGGGACTGAGGAGAAGTGTCTTTCACGCATCCCAGCAAGAAGTCCCCAGGGAACCTGTGGTACCGAGGAAAGCCCGGAAGGCAGTGGGCGCTGGGGACATCTGGCCTGGGGGTCGTCAGAGGCCCGAGGGCCGGTCTGGTGACCTCTGGGTGTCCTTGCTGGCTGCAGCTTGTGTGTGTCAGCGCGGGCTCTGGAACCAGTCTGAGTCATTGTCTCTGAGCCGAGGACGCCCACTGCAGTGGCTCTGAGGCTGGGCAGGAGCAGCCAGGCGGCCTCTCCAGTGGGGAGGACCCTGTCTTTGCTCAGGCTGGGCCAAGAAGGAGTAGGCAGGCGGCAGCACACAAGCCTGGTGGCCCCGAGGGAAGTGGCCGTCATGCTGGAGAAGGGCTCCTTCCCTCACAGCAGAGAGCTAGGGCGGTGACAGTGGGCCTCAGCTCTAGG